CGCCACAGTGTGTGCATGTGGAGGCCAGGAGGAGCCTACTGTGCCTACTACTGTGCCTGCTGCTCGGCCTAGTAGTGTGTGCCAGGATATGCCCTTGCCACTGGCTCCTTGTGCTCCTCCTTTTCTCTCGCTCTCTGTGTGTGAGTGTGCCACGCGATGTGATTGTGAATGCGAAAATGTGGCGACGCCAAAGGAAGTCAGTCCGGGGTTTCAGTTTGGTTCGGTTTGGGTTTGGTTTCGCTTTGGTGCTGCCTTTTCCTTTGCTTGGGCTGCTGCTGGTGCTGCTGCCTTCCAAGGATGACGTAGTCCTCCGGCCAAGTGTGCCAGTGTGTTGGTTGGACTTGGGGTTGCAAACACACACACACAGAGAGAGAGAGGGGTGTGAAGGGGCATTAAATGGTTCGTGTTTTCCTCTTTTTTACATATACAATATATACATATTTTTTTTTATTTTTGCCTCATCTCGGGCTTGTCGCCCTATATTGGGGTCGCCTGACGGCTTGTACTTTAAAAAGCGTCATTTAGTCCGCAGCGCGCTAAATTATTAAAAGCAAATCCAACGCACCCGCCAGCCAACACACACCCCCACACACACACACCACACACCCAGGCAGTTCATTAAATTCAATGTATGCAAAATAGCGGCATCAAAAGCGCCAAAAGAGGCAATGGCCATCTTTTGCCCCCAAAAACTCTCATTCTCTCAGCCGCCAGCTGTTGTCATTTTGTCGAGGCTTCAAGCCACAAAAGTACGCAAAAAAGACAGGCTCATCATAATCATATGCTGCCCCCATACACAGCGAGAAAATATCACTAAAGTTTCAACACAAAAAAAGAGGAATAAGAAACTATATTTGATAGAGAGAGAGGTTCATGGCCTACTTTTAAAAAACAAAAATAATAGTTTTTAAATCTACAGAACCTGAAATTCTAGAATTTGCAGCCATATGGGATCACAAATATAATAATTTCATCATAATTTCACACAGTTTTGTAATGATATTTGGTAAGACATTTTTTAAAGCATACTTTTCAGCACTGAAGGACTTGTGCTAAAATCACCAAGCTTTACTTATGTTAATAATACTTTTTGCTAACTTTGAAATGAACTAACTAAGTGAAATGGATTTCAGAACATCACAAAACACAATGTATAACTAATATCCATAATTTTCTTTCGCTCTGTGCAGTAACTTTGCTGCGCAAATATGTTTCGCAAACTTCAATTTGTGTCCCAGGTAACATAGGTAAGTTCCTAAGTGTGTGCTGGTGTGTGTGTGTGTGGTTTTTTTTAGTAGTTGTGTCTGATTTTGGGGTGAGTTGCCGTGGGTTTTTTATGCGTCACGTGAGAATTTCCTTTATTATTATTTGACTTGGGCTGGCGTTTGGTACATATCACGTATACGCAACGTATAATTCCGCAAAAAGAGGCATTGATTTTTTGATTTGCTTTCGGAGTGCTTCTTTGCCTTACGGCTGCCCCACTTCATTTATTACTTTGATTGCTTTTCACTTTTCCGAAGCACGGATAGCCTGCAGTTTGTGCTCGCAAAATATTTACTCGCCTCGAGTTGGGTTCGAGTTTTGTATTTTCTTTTTCTTTGTATTTTGTTTGTGTTTGCCACGTTTTTTGCATTTTACTTTTTGTTTGTTTGTTATTTGTTTGTATTTTCATTTCTTTTGTTGCTCTGTTGCACGCTGTTCGCTGTTCATCATCAACACACACTCACTCACACTCACAGTCACACTCACTCGCGCTTTTATTCCTTACTTTACTAGTAAAGTACAAATTGCTCACACAATTTCCTTTGCTCTAGTTAGCCGCTGTTGTTGTTGTTGTTGTTGTTGTTGCCTGCTGCCGCTGCCTTTCGATTTTCCTCTGCCTTTTCCCTTTTCTGTATTTTCTCGGAAAAGTCCACGACCACGCGCTACAACGTCTGACCACGTTCTGAAGCCAAGTGTCCTGCGATTTAAACTGCAAACTGCTGCGAAAATGGTGTTGGTGAAAAAACAGCACACCAACATTTTCACCAACAGGCGGCACGGGTTCCGCTCACAGGACCTGCGCAGTGGCCTGAGCGGCAACCCCACCGCAGGTGACACACTTTTCCGCGCCAAGCGTCGTCGTCGATGAAGTGGATTTTCCGACTTTTCCTTCGACCCTAACGTTTTGGCCCTGCCGAGCGTACTATTTACATGGCACATCGGTTTAAGGCGGCAGGCAGGCCGCCTCTTTCCCTTCATTCCCTAAACTTTTTTTTTCCTGAACTTAGTGTGCCGAGTGAATTTCGCATGCATTGCCCGGAGGATGGGTGCACTCGACGAAAAATTGTATACGAAAAGGGAAAATTAATGATATAATAATGGGGAGACCATGGGAAAGTCTTTAAAAATATACAGAATATTCTTTTAAACAGCTATCGATTTCTATAAAATCTCGAAATATAAAATAAAATAATATTAATCTTATAAATCCCTTAAAAATGTAGTTAATATTTCGGTTCTATAAGAAAACATAATGTGTACTCCTAGACAGCTTTTTAAACCTTTCATCTCATTGTTTTCTTCAAATTATTATGGTTCCAAAACCCCTTTAAATCCATATCCCTTACCTAATAGAAATAATGTATCCCTTTAATATATAATCCATTATTTTTGCAGTGTTTCAAGTACAACTCCGGGTGTGATGTTGGCGTAAATGTCATTTTCGATGGCCAAGCATTTTCGGGAAGCTGGCTCTGCCTGGACTACGGCAGTTCAGGGAGTTGAAAGTTCGCATTTGCCGCATCCATAATGAATGAATACGTCCTTGCGTCCTTTTATTCGGACAGCCTCGTATCCTTTCGGTTAAGTCCCTGGGTTAACTGACCTTTTGCCATGCGGCTGACACAATACAAAAATGCAAATAAAGCGCAATACTCAATTGTAAAGTTCAGCGAGTCCCAGAGAATTCTGCAATCTAAATAATATTTATCTTACTGCTCTGAGGAGTAAACAATTTAATTACGGCTTGCCGAAAAGTTGCTGATGCTGGCCACTTCCCATTTAAATATTTAAGCTAACATTTTAATTAATGGAACGAGTTTAAAATTGTGTTTGTTCAAAGTGTTTGCATGTGCATGACGGGCAATAAAACTAAAATAATAACAAAGTGTATGGCCTGGAAAACTTTGCTTTTGCAGCTTGTTATTATTATTAAATGAGAATGTTGTGTGCGAAAAATGTTTACATTTAAGTAGAGTAGCATATAATTGCCAAAAATATATATGAAAATAAACTAATGAAATTAGTAAAATGTTAAATTGAATGTATAAAGTTAAAAAATGAGAAAATACTGAAAAATGTGATTGGGTAGTTTTTATTTTTATTACTCTAATTCTTTTTAGCAAGCTCTTTCAGAAACCCTTTCATATATTTCATTAAAAGAAATACACAATCTTAAACAAAGAGAGTTCAATTTGTAATTGAATAATGATTTTTAGTTCAACTTTATAATAATAATTTTTCCATTCACATAGTTACAAACCCAATTAATTCTGTTAAAAATCTAATTCACTTCTTCAAAATTTCGAAGCATCTAGAGAGATAACTTTGTAGTTTAAATTTTGTTCTCAACTCACATCCATCGATTTCTCACACCCCCCAAAAAAAAAATTTAATTAACTATTCGCTAGAAAAGTTTACCAAAGACCACATTTTCCGTAGGAAAATGGTGTTGGCGGTGACCAGAAAAGGAAACCGCGGACTGCAACTGCAAAATGCGTACTACAAAATGCGAAACGCAACGAAATTCAAAGAGGGAAAAGCCAGAAACACAAACCGAAATAGAAAATCCAAATAAACAAAATCAACGCCAACGTCGTCGGCTGCCTGTCAATTAAAACATTAAAACGCGATGGAAAAAAATGCAACAAAATAAGCGAAAAATCAAACAAAAATTGAACAGACGACGCCGCGGCACGACGTTAACTATTTCAGCGATTAGAAGCATAGAATTTCGCAATGGAGCACTTAGAGCCGCGGAGTCGCACAGCCACGGAGCCCAAGTGTGACCCAGTTCGGTTCTCTGTGTGTGTTAGTGTGCGTGAGTGTGTGTGTGTGTGTGCAGGAAAGGAACTGGAACTATGTTTTGGCTATTTGCTCTTTTGATCATTAAAAACTGGTTGCCACAGCCCAGCTGAGCGCCCACAATTGCGGTCAAATTAATAGCAGCCGAGAGCTAAATAATAAATCACCGATGTTAGCTGACCACTAACTAGCATGGGATTGAGGTGGTAATTATTTATTAACCATAAAAAAAAAAATAACTATTTTAAGCATAAAAAGTTGGCTATAATGATGATTCAAAAGGAATGCTGACAGTAATTAACTTGGCATTATTTAAATGCTTTCAAATATGGGATTAAGGTGGTAATTATTTATTTACTATTTAAAGTATAAAATAATGCCTTTAATCATGATTTAATAGGATAGCTGACAGTAATTAACTTGGCATTATTTAAATGCTTTCAAATGAATTATGCAAAACAAATAAATAAATGCAATTTACATATTTCAAATTATGAGTACATTTGAATTATATAACCTAAAAAAAATTGTGAGATAAATGTAATAAAAAATGTATCAAAAAAACATAAATTGAAAATGCGTAACAAATATGGGTGATAAATGGATATTCCGTATCCATGTATCAAAAAATTGTTACATCAAAGTTTACGATTTTTTCGGTATAATATTGTAAACGATATTTATATCCATACATCATTTTGAACTGTGCCTCCAATAATAATAAATGAGCTTATTTATTATAAATAATCTATAATAAATTATTCTCATAAATACTACATTTTTTTTACTTGCAATAAATAAAAGAGTGCTATTTCTGTACCCCCCACTGTCTCTTAGCTTTTCTCACCGCTCCAAGTGGCTTTATAAACAGATGGCCAAGGCGGCCGCGAGCCGAGTTTTGACGTTAGATTAGTCGAGCGTGCGCGCTTTTTTTCCCACGATCAGGATACACCCCGATAAAAACATGAAAGATCACTTCAACAGGATATCCTGGACGAATGTCCTACCAAGCCTGCTGCTAGTCATCGTACTCATGGCCTCTACGGCCTTAGCCTTCCCGGACGGAGCGCCCGCGGATACGTGTGTGAAAAAGCGGGCCAATCAGCCGAATCATGGCACGGCCAGGAGCCAACCGGCGGAAACGAATCCCTTCGAGGTGGTGGCCGACTCTCAGACCTACCATCCCGGCCAGCAGATCTCGGTGGTGGTGTATCCGCACTCGGGTCATGGTCAGGTCTTCCGTGGGTTCTTCCTCCAGGCCCGCGATGCCCACTCGAATGAGTGGATTGGCGAATGGGTGCAGAGTGAGAACACCAAGACCATTCCGGAGTGCTCGGCCATCACGCACGCGGACAAGAAGGACAAGCTGGGGGCCAAGCTCATCTGGAAGGCGCCGCAGAATAAGAGGGGAAATGTCTACTTTACGTAAGTTTAAACTGATTAATATATTAATTAAGAGACCCGCGAATAGCTTTCAATTAACAAATATTATATGAAATATAATAAAAGTCATATAGTACAAGTGTTACATCCGCTTGAAACACTCCTGAATAAAATGGAGCTCATGTGCAAAACAAATTCATTAAATGACGTTTAGCACCCCTAATTCTTGGCCCACCCAATGTCACCACTTTGTCACACTTCTGGCACAGAACGTGTCTCCTATCGCCCATCACCATCATCATCATAATAATCATCATCATCATTATTATTATCAGTGGAAAAAAAGTAGAAGCCGCACAAGCAGCACCATCATCGTGTCGCCCATGAAGGGATTCATTAATCATACGCCACGTTGACCCACATAATGTAATGCGCGGCATAATTGTTGTCAGGCCGACAAAAACTTGCCGGATAATCGCACAAAAGGCATTATGTAATTGATTTATTATGGAGTCAGAGAGAGAAGCCGAAAGAGTCTCTAATCATCCGTCCACAAAAAAAGGCATCAAATGTCGTCGTCAAAGATGCCAAACGCCAAAAAGAAAAGTTGTCAATGCTTTTTGCAGCGACAACAGCAACTTTGTCAGCCGCTTACACTGGCAAAAACACGAACTCTCCCCAAAAACCGGGGGAGGAGTGTCAAAGTGTGTATAAAGTCGAAACGGAAGTTATTCCCCGGTCACTTCCCTGTCATTTATCACTTTATGCACAACTGAAAATTAATCAAAAACAAACACGGGAAGACAAGCAAAGTTTCGGGCATAAATTTGCATCCGACTTAATGTTCAAAAGTTTAATCAATAATTTACTTCAGGGGAAGCCGAAACTAAATACTTGAATGTAACAATAAATAGCTGCGGAATTTAATCCACAAGCTTATATTATTTTAATATGAATCGAATATATTTTGTATAAGAAAAAGTCGGAGATGTTTATAATATAATATAATAATAAAGCAGTTTTGGGAAATTGATTTCTAATAACAACAAAATAAATGTACTAGTTAAAGTGTTTATATAAAATAAACAACAAAAAAATACATAATTTTTAAATTAAAAAGTATTTGTAAACTAATTAGGAGTCTATGGTGCTCCCATAATTATTACAAGATTCTTAAAGTTACTCTATTAAATATTAGAAATTTGTATTATAATTTGTATTTAAAATTATATATATTACAAAACGTTGATAGAACATATTATGTGAGTTCAGGGGAGTAGAAACATATCCTAATTGTAAATTCCCAATTCATTTTAAATCCCTTAACTAATAAATGCGTTTTAAGTATTTCCAATAATTAATTAAAATACGTTGCTTAAACCTAAACTCGGTGAAAAGCTACACGTTTAATATATTTTTCCCTTTAATTTATATTAATGTATATATCACCCTGCAACCCATCAACTTTTATAACCAAATTAAAATGTAGCCCAGTGCTGTTTTGCCCCAAAAATCTCCTGAAAATTGCCGATTCATCAATTATTACCTATTTATAGACTCTGCGTCTCACATTACATGCAATCTTGTCGTATAAATTAAAAACAATCGTGACTTTGCTGAATGGCGGAATCCTCCTTCCCATTTTCATTTCCATTTCCCTTGATTTCATTGCTTTTCTTTTCCATTTTCAGGGGCACTGTGCTTCAGCAGTACGGCACCTTCTGGAGCGACATCGTCAACAAGGTGCAGGCGGAGCCGCAGTATTGAAATTATGTACTTTTACTTAGCATAAGGCAGCTGTATTCCACAACTGATGCCGGGCAATAAATTGTAAAGACCCTAATTAGTCAAGACGAGAAACGAAATTGTTGTTTAAAGATTTTTCAAATACCAAATGGACGGACGGACATGTACGCCGGCCCCCCATTGAGCCGTGCAATCAACATTACGTAGCCAAAATTATTGACTTTTTGGCTTAACGTTTATGAATGACCAGTCGGGGCAGAAGGGGGGCACACACATACATACTTACAAGAAGCCAGAGACGGTTTCCTCTTGGACACACTGACACCCACTTGGAGCCACCTACACGGCCCACTTAACCCCCAATTCCGGAGGAGGCCGAGCACGTTTGGGTTTCCAGACACGTTGCGGGCCACAGCCTCTCTTCTCATTGGAAATTCGTTTCGTTTGCGTTTTCGTTTAGGTTTTCGGTTGCGGGCGTGCAAGTAAATTGGAAACTTTAAGCACCTTTCAGGCCAACTGAGCGATAAAGTAATTAGAGCAACGGGCCAGCCGGCCTACCGCCCGCAGACAGTCAAAGAATTTGATTTGGCCCAAAACATAAGCCTGCATTGACATCGACATCCGTTACATAGGGCCGGTGTCCAGGCTTCTAATCGCACAGAGCGAAGGATAAGGAATCAATTGCAAGAAATTAATTACAACTGTGCCCAGGGGTGCCACAGAAATTGCTATGGTGTCGCCAAGTGTTCCACAAAAATGTACACACACAGCAATTGGGGGCGGACTTGGCTTCAAACTTTAATTTAATTGTTTTAAAAACCTTTGCGATTTCTATGCTATTTCCTGGTATTTTTAAATTTAATAGGTTTTACTGCAAAACCTATTACTTTACGGATTTAAATTTTCTCAATCCAAAGAAAATATTTGTGAGTGAAAAAAACAACAATAAATATATTATGAAATCCAATTTGTATACCTTTGGAAAATAACATAATTTTAGTCGGAAGCTTTCAAAGTAGTGAAGGAGATGCCTTCCGACCCTATTAATCATATATATTCTTGATCAGCATCAAAAGCTGAGTCGATCAGGCTATGTCTTGCAAAAATGTATTTTTTACTAAAATTTGAACATTTTATAAGGGGTTACATCGTTAAAATTGTCAAAAATTCATAAAAATCGAAATTTTTGTAAATTTAAAATTGAGTATGCAGATTTATCAAACTACTAAAGACTAACATAGGAGTGGTTTCCGAATTAAGATATATACTCTTTAGGCTTAGTTATGAGATTTTTAAATTTGATTTGTAGAACATATTTTCATATAAAAATATAGATAAATATTGGGTCAAAGAATGGTATTATAATTATGGTCCGAAGCCTATATCAATGTGAAGGAGTCATTTCCGACCCTATAAATCATATATATTCTTGATCATATATATTCTTGAACAGCCAAATCGATCTTAGCATGTCCTATCAAAAAAATTGATTTTCGAAATTTTTCAAAAACTTTACATCGTTAAATTAATAAAAAATAAATTGATAAAAATCATAATTTTTTTAAATTTAAAATTTAGTATGCAGAGTTATTAAACTACTAAAACTAACATAAGAGTGGTTTCGGAATTAAAATGTATTCTCTTTTGGCTTAGTTATGGGATTTTTAAACATAGATTAAAAAAAAAAAAATCATAAAAAATATCGACAATATCCTATAACTGCAAGGGTTATAAACTTCGGCATTCCGAAGATAGTTTTAACCTAAACGCAATGGCCAAAGGTTATTAATTATGTAGGAAGCATAAACAATACATACCCGTTAGGAACTATCTTCAAATAATTTGCGTCAGCATTTACAATCAATTATCAAGTTCTTCCAACAGAAATCTGAAAGCACACATAAAAACTGTCAGTTTTTTCGAGACCTCACTGTACATAAACACAGTACTTACACACACACTTTGCCTGGAGCTTGTTTACTTGACTGCGAGTTCAGTTATTCACTTGTTTTTGTTGTTCAATCGAGAAATGTGCATGGCAACCCACGCGAATTCGCGAAAAGGGGAAAATGGGGGGTTAAGAACCGCATGTTGTTTTCGTGCGTTGCATATTCGCCGTGCGGTGGGGCGACTTGTTTTGATCGAATTCGCAAATTCGCCGCAGCGATTGCCTTTGTCTGGCTTCGCCGGCTATCCAGGGGCGCTATTAATAGAAAAGGGATCATGATTTAGAGGAAATTTTTTAAATTTTAAAACATATAACTTAGTGTTTAGATGTAACATACATACATTTTAAATAATTTAGTACGAAGCACATTATTATTCGAAAAGCACTTAAAAATGCTTTAGAGTTTTCGTAGTATAACAAAATAAATGTATAAAAGAAAATCGTTTGATTTACATTTATACTAAAAACAATATTTTATGGAATTTACCCTCACCTCCTCTGATACGCCCCTGAACAAGTCAAGTTCGCTGTCCCGTCAGGCGAGTTTTGACTCTGTTTTGTACTGCACGCTTTGTGCTTTTTTGCACACAGTGACGACGACTTGTTGCTGTTTCTCTGACTCTCGTTTATCAGCGATTGGCGAGCACTTGTCTTTTCAACACTTTAGTTTAAACCGCTTTCCAGAGAGGTTCACAGATCGCAGACGACATAAACAACATGGTTATCAATTTTGCTGCCGGTCCAGCCAAGTTGCCTGAAGAGGTCAGTATGTTTCGAATGTCACGGGATCTTATAGTAACAAGAGAGAAAATTATTATTAAATATATTATTTCTCACCATTATTCGTTGTCCCCAATATGATTCCAGGTCCTCAAAGAGGTGCAGGCCAATCTGCTCAACTGCAATGGCAGTGGCATTTCGGTGATGGAAATGTCCCATCGCTCCAGCAACTATGCCAAAATCCAGGAGACAGCCATTAACGACCTAAGGGAGCTCTTGAAAGTGCCCAGCAATTACAGGATCCTCCTAATGCAGGGCGGCGGCACTGGACAGTTTGCAGCAGTGGCTATGAACTTGATTGGAATCACTGGCACCGCCGACTATGTAATCACCGGCTCGTGGTCCTCCAAGGCGGCCAAGGAGGCAGCTCAGTATGGCACAGTCAACGCCGTGCTGCCCAAGATGGACAGGTACACGTCCGTGCCGCGGCAGAGCACCTGGAAGCTGGATCCAAAGGCCTCGTATGTCTACTACTGTGACAACGAGACGGTGGAGGGCGTGGAGTTCGACTTTGTGCCCGAGATTCCTGCTGGTGTTGCTCTGGTGGCCGACATGTCCTCCAACTTCCTGTCCCGGCCCGTCGATGTGGCCAAGTTTGGTGTAATCTATGCCGGCGCCCAGAAGAACATTGGACCTGCCGGCACCACAGTGATCATCGTTAGGGAGGATTTGATAGGCAAGCACATGAAGATTACACCTTCCATTCTAAACTTTGAGCTGATGGACAAGAACGCCTCGCTGCTGAATACTCCACCTACTTTTGGGTAAGTTATACTCCTTATTACTTGTTATATAATTCATAATTTAAATCAAACCTCGTTCTTCCAGCATCTATGTGATGGGTTTGGTCTTTAAATGGATCAAACGGAATGGCGGTGTCGAAGGCATGGCAAAGCTGGCCGCGTCCAAGTCCAAGCTCATTTACGACACCATCGAGCAGTCCAATGGCTTCTACTACTGTCCCTTGGATGCGAATGTTCGTTCGCGCATGAACGTCCCCTTCCGGATCGGCAGTGCCACTGGCAACGATGCTTTGGAGAAGGAGTTTCTGGCCAAGGCCGAGGCGGAGGGCATGATCCAGCTGAAGGGACATCGCTCCGTTGGCGGAATTCGAGCCTCGCTCTACAATGCCGTAACGATTGCAGAGACCCAAAAGCTGGCCAGTCTCATGCTGAACTTTTACAGGAACAATAAAAACTAGAGGAGTATGTTCCTTCGTGTAATTGATGTTGTTTTTTGGATTTACAGCAGACCTCGTTGGCGGAAGATTTCGTCTAGCTTGAGCTCGAGATTGGCATTAGTGCCCCGTAGGTTATCCACTACCTTCTTGGCCCAGACAAAGTACTGATCACGGCGTTCCTGCAAAGGTTTATTTTGAATGGATTTCCTTCTGCAGATTTATTTAATACCTCACCTCTGTCCAGCCCGTAGGCGTGTTGACCTGCAGATCCCTTAGGTTATCCAGCTTGTCAGCCAACTTAATGAGCTTGGCTCTGCGACTGGTTTTGGCTGCGTTTTCGATTTGCAAACGCTTTCGTTCCTGTTTCTCCAGGGATTTATCATCCGTTACCTCGCGCACCAATCCGCAAATATCGGCGCCAAAAAGCTGCTCCACATCCGCGAACGTGGCGTCCGTATCCTCGACCACGTCGTGAAGGAGAGCTGCCATTAGGACTGCCTCATCCGTGATACAGGCTTCCACCGAGAGGATGGTGCTCACATTTATTACATGATTTACGTAAGGAGTTTCCTTGGGATCCTTAAAATAAAGAGGAGAATAGTTATTTACGAAAGATGTTTCACGAAGTCCCCTTAAATATTTGTTAATCATTCATGTTTAACTCACCTTGCGCCTCTGTTCACGATGCTTAAAAGCCGCATACTGCAGGCACTCCATAAACTTGGGCGAAGGGTAATTAGCCATTGGAAGTTTAATTTAATGATTTAATCAATTACAAATTGTTTTGTTTTGCGAGTGTTTTGCTTTTTTTGAGGCCGGAAAACAGCTGATCCAAAAGAGCGGCAAACGGAATAGTGCAGCCCTGAAACAATCGATAGTCCATAGGAAAAAAGCAACACGATAGTAAAATTGCCGGCAAATTCAAATTCAAATTCAATATAAATAATTGAAATAATAACAAGCTGTTCATCTCGTCCAAGTTTTTATTTATGTAGGTCTCAATGTTTCAGTACTTACTTACTTAAAAATTGACATTAGAAATAGATTAGCAAATAATATTATTGTTATTATGATGAATCAAATTTGTAATATTCACTTAACCTTTGCCTAACGGATTTATTTACTATTTACATATCCCGTTAGAGAAATTAATGGAAATGATTTCTATACTTGAAACAATTTCAAACTCCAAACTAAAGGTCTAGACGATAAGTTATGGTATGTAAAACCCCATCAATCACTTCACGCCGTTGATTTTCAGAATATTAGAAACACCAGGAACCGGACTTTCTTCTTCCAACTAAAACCCAAACCAAAGCGCAACTCAGTCAGATTCTTATCCGAGATCTTTCTCCATAAAGCATACATGGTATATATTGTATGTAAGTAAGCCAAAAACCCACCCAAATTGCTGTTATTCTTTACAGCTAAAAGGTTTCCCCTTCTTTGTTGTAAACATCGCCTTTTCCTGGCTTTTCTTTCCTGCCCAACGAGCAGTGCAACAGGTAAAAGAGTAAAAAAAAAACAAATGCCAGGGCACTTTCATTTGTTATCTGGCTCAGTAATCTGTAAAAATCTGTAACAGCCCACCAAACAACGGTGCATACAATATTTCCTAGCCATTCTTCACACTGTGTGACCACGAAATCGTCAAAGTCAGGCCCACAGAGAGTCAGCTCTTTACACCGGCCAACAAAGTCACGGAGCGTAGTCTGGGGCTTTGCTAAAGGGGGTGCCTGGGGATCCTTAGCTTATAAATTAAAAACTGATCTCTTAATTAAGTTGGTTCTTCTAGAGTTTGTCAATTTATTAATTTCTTTTTATTAATAATATAAAGGCTATGAATTTAAAATTATTATTTTATATTTATATATAAATATTATTTTATTTACAAAAGGGAAACCTTTTCGTAAATGAAAAAGATCAGTTTAATATAAAAATATTTTTGATACAAGTATAAGGGATTTTTTAAACTTGAACAATACAATTTCTCTCTCCCTAAATAAATTCAGATACATTCTGAAAAACCCCCTTTATTATCTTCGCCCATGTCATACCGATAATGACAATGCAACGCCCGACGTCGACAGAGCGAACGATGTAAAACTCTTTATTTTTTTTCTTTTTGTTTTTGGTGAAAATTTGTACCTGATTTTATATTTCCCTTTTTGTTACACTGTTTTTAGATCTGTTTTGCTGTTGCCTTTTTCAGTTATTACGTATTGCCATGTTTACCATATTTTACACGCGCTTACAGGCACACACAGACGCAGTACACTGAGAACAAAACGATTCAGTTTTACTTGCTTAAAATAAAATATTTATTTATTGAAAAGATCTTCTATACATGAAATATAAAATATAGAAATTTTATGTAACATAAAATTCGAGTAATTGGAAAACAGTTTTAAGTTTAAATTAACTGAAATCTATCTTGACTATTTATATTCGTTTAATTGTGTCACTGATGACATCGATTCCTATGTTCGAAATATCCGAATATTTTAAATATTTTCTTACAGTGTCCATTTCCCCAACTGTGCGCTTGTGTTGGTGAATGTTCTGCTTCTGCGCAGCGATGCATAATTCCCACTTTTGAAATTTGTGTGCGGTTGGTGGTTGTTGTTGTTGTTTTTATTTTATTTTTGTTATTGTTGCTGCTGGTGCCGCTGCCGCTGCGCAATTAATAATTCTTTTCGACTGGCGTGAAATTTTCATAAGGCAAGAAACGGAGGAAAAGCAGCAGCGCAACCGCACCAACTTTCCATGAAAATCTCCCGGCCATTAGTAGCAATCGCAGGCGCTTTTCACCGTGGAAAAGCCAAGAAAATGGTGGTACGGGGGCAGGGACAGGGGCACGATGCGATGGCAAACCGCAGAGATTGTGCGACCCCGTAGAAATGGGCTCACGTCATAAATATTATTCAAATTACAAACTCATTAATAAATGACGTAGTTTTGTCTAAAATAAATAAAAAGAGCAGCGATGATTGCTCAATCTCTGCAGCGTTGAAAGAGTCCAAGCTGGAAAATCATCAAGGCTATAGCAAAAAAAACTTTATCATAATAAGTTTAGTTTATTATTTACGACCAATTTACCACACTTACCAAGTATTCGAATTTTTAGACTTGAAGGTAACAGAAGCCTAGAATGATGTAAGGGAGTCATTTACGACCCTGTAAAACATATATCGGCATCAAAAACTGAGTCGATATAGTCATGTCCGGTCAAAAAATAAACCTTCGAAATTTTTCCCAAATTTTCTAAGGGGTTAATCGTTAAAATTTTCAAAAATTGATAAAAATCCTAATTTTTTTAAAATTAAAATTGAGTATGTAGATTTATTAAATTACTAAAAACTAACATAGGAGTGATTTCCGAATTAAAATAAATGCGTTTATGGCTTAGTTATGAGATTTTTAAATTTGAAAAAAAGTGTTTTTTATGAACTCTAAATCATGATATTCTGTAACCCAAGATTTAAGACCAGGGTTTTTTTTCAACCAAGAGAGATATGACTTATCAACTGAATAATTATTCGAGAAAAAGATGGGCCTGCAAATAAGAATACAAATACCTGAAAACGCTGCGCTACAAAAAAAAAATGTGTGCATAATTTAGCAATAAATGTAAATATTACTGGTCCGCTGCTTCCTTTGGGAGACGGAGCGAGCGCCATGCTGTTGCTGCTGCCTGTTTCCTGTCCTGTGGAATCACCACCTCCTCCTCCTCCTCCTTACCATCGTCTCCAAGGAAAACAATGATGATCACGTTGGCCGTTGGGATCGCAATGATGAGGATGCTGCTGCTGCTGGGGTTCGAGTACAGAGTGGGGGCCTGTGTGCTTGGCCCATGTCCCACTCCTTATCTTGGCAGCACGAAAACCAGAAACAAGAATTATAGACCAAAAGCCAGTTGCAGCTGTGTGTGGGTGTGTGTGTGTGTGTGTGTGTGTGTATCTGTGTGAGTGTGCCTTTGGCTAGAAGTGAATGCTGAGGATGCTGTGCTGTGCCAAGCAGATGCAGTTGCATCTGCCGCCAAAAGGCCAAAAGGAACACTATAAAGCCCAGCTTGGATCGGTAGTTGGGGGAGCGATTAAGTGAGAAGGCTTTAATATCCATCAATTAACCTAAAGATGCTTCAAAAATAAATCACATTCACCCCATTCAAGATTCAGGAAACTAAAACATCTCGGAGTGGTGTGTATTTATTATTGTTATTATTTTAAAAGATCATTTTCTTTATAAAGAATTATGTAGAGCCTGCTCTGATAAAAGCTTCTTAATATAAATTTCATAAATATAAGATTCTCTTAAATTAGCGCTGTACATCCTGTAAATATATACACTTGTACTAATAAATAAACTAATTTAATTTAAGATACTCTCTAAAAAATAGTCCCTGTGCGCATCATAACTCTCTAAAACTGTTATGCAGAGCATTATTCCCTTCTAACATCCCTTAATTAATGAATTATTAATGTAAGAGTTCAAGAGTTCCCTGAAACCAATTTCCTAAACATTATTATCCTAACTTTATTATTTCAAAACAATAAACTCTTAACAGAGAACAAGTCAAGATTCTGTAAATGCAAAAACTCGCATGCGAGAGAGGCTTCTGCCCGCTCAATTCTGTTCTCTCGGACTCTTGAGATATACATATATATAAAGCTATGCTCCCTTATATACAGTATATATACCATATAGACAACAACATCACGATCTGGCCAGAGTATGGGTGAGTCGCTGGCGATTGTGCTTATGTGTAGCATGCGGTTTTGCTGTGGATTTTGTGTAAACTTTTCGCAGTCGTCCGTCAGCGAGCGGAGCGAGCAAGCTCCAGGAGAAAGATACAGATACAGATACAGATTCAGATAGAAATGGAGGAGGAGATGGCGGTGTAGAGGAGAAAGGGGACTTCATTATGAGGTTGTAACTGTCTTTTCAATTTCTCGTTCTGCCCGATTCGCCTTGCCAAATGGAGCCTACTAGATACAGATACGGATGCGGATATAAACTCACAGATACACACAGCCTCACGCTTAGATGCGGCGGCCCTTTTCCTTGGCCGGCTTGAGTTGCTGTTAACTGAAATCCCCGATGTTTCAATGCACAGAAAACAATTTTATGACATTAATTAAATCTACATTTGATCGTATTTTTAAACTGCTATATTCCTTGATAGAGATAAAGATATCAAAACATAAGGCGTGACTTCTGTTTGGTGCCCAGTCATATTTAAACAAATAAAATTGATAATTTAGGAATTTAATAATATTATATTTAATTTTATCAAATAAAAAGTTAAAGATACATTTTTTTGCAGTTCATTAAGAGATGAAAAGTTATTTTTATCTCTGTAACTGAGCTACAGATACTGTGCCTGCTGGAAGGCACTCTTCTCTTGCTCTTGCTCTTGCTCTTCTGATGCTGAAGATGGATCTCTGTCTTCCTGGATTCCCTTCCCCCTCTCCCTCTCCCCTCTCCCTCTCCCTCCCCCTCAAAAAACACACACATCGACGACAATTGACGGGTCTTCTGTTGGGTGTGTGTTTGTGTCCGTTGATGTTGATGAGTTTTGTTTTAATTCTGCTTCTTGACTTCAATTTCTTATAAAATTGTTTATGTGCACGTAATACAGTGGAGCCACTATGAAGGGGACATCAAAAACAGCAAACTTTAATAAATAGTAAATATAAATATCAAATAAATTACTAAAACTTGTTTACTATTTATATATTATAATTTATTGTTGATATGCATAGTTTCGATAAATCAAAGTTTACGATATTTTT